GGAGTCATTAATAAGTACACAGATCCACTTTTGGATGCAACAGCTTCCTTAGCACAAGCAGAACATACCTGCCTCTATCTGCCCCTAAACACTCCTACTCCTACACCTAACAATAGCAAGTACTGATACTAATGCAATAGTTAGACTAATACCAAATACTAAGAGTAAATTTTGTGTCTTCCAGTTTAAAAATATCCTGTGTTCACTGTCAATACTTCATACAAAACTCATAACATAATCAATAAATGTCTGTGGAACACCTATTTTTATACCACATATTGTGTTATAGTGCTTCACATATATGTTGTCTTATTTAATGCTCACAAGGATCTCATAAGAAATGCATTTATTATGTTCACTTTAAAAATGAGCAAACTTCCCTGGCTGGTGTGGTTCAGTGGATTGAGTGCCGACCTGCAAACCAAAGGGTCGCCAGTTCAATTCCCAATCAGGACACATGCCTGGGTTGCGGGCTAGGTCCCCAGTAGGGGGCACATGAGGGGCAACCACACACTGATGTTTGTCTTCCTCTCTTTCTCCTCTCTAAAAATAAATAAATATAATCTTTAAAAACTGCTAAATTTTTTTTAAAAATAAAAATGAACAAACTGAAGCTCAGAGATGTCAAGTAACTTCACCAAAGTTATACAGCAAGTGAAGATAAAGCTTGGTTTTAACACAAGTCTTTTGATTTCAAGTCTAGGATTCTCTCCCACCCACATGCAGTAATAGGTATAATCACGATCCACGTTTTACAGATGGCAGATACTACATTTTTAGAGGTGAAAGTCAAACTAACTCTCCAATGATATAGGTAAATATAGTGGGTCTAAGGGGTTTTTTGATGTAAGCATACAGCTAACACTCAAATAACTTCTTGTAAGAACATTGTGGCTTTTTGCTTCACTGCTGGTTGCATTCACTAGCTCCTTATTTTGCCTCCCTGCCAACCCAAGTCAGCCTCCAGGGGCAGACAGACCTGGGGGTGAGAGTCTAAGTCATTGGGGCAGTGTAGTGGGGGAGGGGCCGTTAGGCCCATCTGTCACTGTGACAGCCCCACATGTCTCCTGATCATAAAGCTCTCGCCTTCCCCAGAGCAGCTCATTATTCCTCCTGATGTTGTTGCCTGAGGAGCCAGGCTGGCTTCTCTCATGCTGGTGACTGACGACATGGTCGAACAGCGGCATCCAAGTGCAGCTGAAGCTCCCCAAGGCCCCTCAGCACCGGGGGAGGCAGGGTGTGGGCTGGCTGGTCATTGTTCTGAGAATGACATTGATCCATCCCATGTAGATGGAGCTGCAGGGGCAAGCTGCCTACCTGGCTGTCTTGTTAGTCAGAGTCATTCAGACAACTGAGCTTGTGAGTGTTCTCACATGCACAAGGAAAGATGGCAAAATGCATGAGGAGCACAGATCGGGCATGGTTCTAGGCTTAGATCACATTGCACAGTGCTGGAGGGAGCTAGAAAGTGGTCCAAGACTCAGATTCTGCCATCTGGGGGCTTAAGTTGATGCAGTGGACAAGGATGGAAATGTGGGGCTATTAACTCTATTCATGATTCAGAGGTTTATGTGCATGGGGATTAGGAGAAATAAGGGTGTGTTTATTTAAGTAAAAATTCAATATTTTCATGATAGTACGGTGTAAGTGGAGAGCATGGGAGACAGTGTGTTATGGTTAAAAATGCAGTTTCTGCCCTGGCTTGATGGCACAGTTTGTTGGAGTGTGGTCCCATACACCAAAAGGTTGAGGGTTCAGTTCCTGGTCAGTGCACACATCTGGGTTGCAGGTTTGATCCCTAGTTGGGGTGCATACAGAAAGCAAACAATCAATGTGTCTCTCTCTCTAAAATCAGTAAACATATCCTCATGTGAGGATTAAAATAAAAATTTTTTAAATACAGCTCTTGATGTTAGAACTGGCTATGCGGTGGGAGGTGCTTAGACATACTATGTGACCTTTCTGAACTTCATTTTCCTCATCTGTAGTGCAGAGTTGATAATACCACTTATCTTAAAGGGTTGTGGGAAGATGAAATATTATAAGGCAAATCAAGGACTTAACCTTTTGTCTGGCACACTGCAAGGAGTAGGGAGTGATTGCTAGCTGCTATGGATGTTGGGATCAAAGTGGCTGCTTCATATTCCAGATCTGCTCTTGCCCATGTGTCACCTTGGATAAGTGGTATATTTTCTCTGAATTTTATCCATAAGATGGAATGATTGATTGCATTTACCTAAGGAGGTTATGGGAAGAACCATACAAGATAAACTCTGTAAATTGCCTGGTACATAGTAGGAGTTCAATAAATGATAGGAACCGTTAGGTGTCAGCAGAGGTAAGGGTTGAGTTAACCTCATTTCTGGCAGGAAATAAAATCCTGTTAGATTTTGATGTCCTAGAAATTAATTTCTTTAAACTTATTCATGGCTATTACTTTACTTTAATCAAAACAAAATGTCTTACTTAAAGTCAAAGGATTAGTTCTGCTAATGGAAAGGTAAAAAGAGTTAATCAATGACCTTTCTATTGTTCTTCCTGCCTAGATATTGGCAGGAGTTACACATTATCAGAAAGCTGAGTATGCTCCCTGCAAAGTCTCCTTTCTCTTCTTCCTGAACATATCTAAGGTCCTGGCAGCTTAGAATTGGGGAAAGGCCAATCTCTGCCCTGCATCATTCCCTTAAAATATAAGTAGCTGACAACCCTTTAATCTTGCCAGAGGTATCTGCAAACTTAAACTAGGACGTTATTATTCCCACTTCTACATTTGTCTCCCTTAATCCATTCTCCATACTGCAGTCAAAGTGATCTTTTAAAAACACAGGCCTCATCATTTCTCTCCCCTGCTTAAAACTCTTTAATGACTCCTCACTGCCCACATTCCTTATCAAGGTTTACAACACTCTCAATTATGGTGCCCATCAAGCCCTGCAGGATCCTTTCCTCCACTCCACCCCCAGTGCAGCCATTCTCCCATCTCACTCATTATTTCTCTTCCTGGAATATCACAGGATCCTTTCAACTTCCAGAGTTTGCACATAAGGTTTTCTGTGACTAGAATGCTCTCCACTTAGTTAACCTCTATATATCTGTCAAATCTCAATATTAAATGCTCTTCTTTCAGGGGGCATTCCTCAGTTCTCTAGACTGGCTTTTTGCTCCTATACCATCAGTAAAAGCCAGCTATTCCCACAGCTGTAGGAATACAAAAAAAATGTGTAAATAGCATCTCTCTTGAGCAGCTTAACTGACCAAGTGGTAGAATGATAGTAAAGGGCTTGAGTGCACCCCTTCCTGTATTCATACCCTTGTAAATGTGCCTTTGCAGCTGTTCCCATCAAAAGGTAAAGTCTTTTTTTCTACCCCTTGATTTTGGGCTGTTCCTAGTGACTTGCTTTGGCTAACAGAATACAGCAGACATAGTAATGTGTCAATTCCAAGCCTAGAGGTCTTGAGAAACTTTGCACATTTCTGCTAGATCTATAAGAACTCTACCAAGTTGTCATGTGAAGAAATTCAGACCAATCAGACAAAGACTAGAGACCATGTTTCCAAGTTACCTCTCATGTCCTTGGTCATCATCCATCTAGCCCCAGAAGCAAAGCTGCCTAGCATATTAGCATCTGACAGTAGATATGTGAATAAACTCAGCCAAGGCCAGAAGAATCATACAGCTGAGCTCAATCAAAACTGCACCTATAGAATCATGAACAAAATTGCTATTTTAAGCTAAAGAGTTGTGCAACAGTTTGTTAAACAGCACAGGTTAATGGATACAGGCTTTTTGTAGGATGAAATAAATACATGCATGAGCAGGTCAGCAACAATACAAGGTAATGTGTGCTAGGTGTGCCATGAGTAGACAGACAGACATAAGAGAATAGAAGGATGAAATATCACTGAGGACTGGAGTTATTTAGAGGAGATGATTTATTCAAGTACATTGCTATTATATCCTCAAGCAGACTTTCTGAGAATATGGAATATGTCTTAAAATTATTTTGTACTTTCTGCACATCATTTAAGCTACAGTATTCAATTCAAAATTACCTGATGGGTTATTTAAAATAAAGCTATACACTATCATCTATCTTGTGTTCACTTTTATGTTCCTTGCATCTGCACAGTGCCTGGAAAAGAGGAAGCACTCAGTAAATACTTATGAATGAATAAATGACTGACTTCATAGATTTAAAAAATATTTATTTGTGAGTGTCTTTCCAGAAGATCTCAGGCAGTGTTTCTAGGTATAAATGGTGAGGAGAAAAGCACAGAAAACTGGAAGGCAGTAGGATAAACCACTTCACCTAAATCCACCCATCCATTTGTAGCTGTCTCAAAGCACAATATATGGTACGTTTGCCCTTTATTCTCTTCTTACGTACTCTCTTTGGGCTTCCCACCAACTTTTCCTCTTCTTTTTCCTTTTATTTTTTTTCTCTTTCAGTTCTCTGTTTTCCTGTGCTCCTGATTCTTTCTGAGTTAACATCTTTAATGTATAGTGATGATCAAGTTCAAGGTCATGGCTCTATGTTGGAAGGGACTGGGTGATGTGGGTGGCAGATGCAGGGTCTCTGTGGCAGGTGCAGTGAGAATAGGCTCTGCACACTCAATTCTCTTACTCTTTCCATACCCGACCCCCACCAAAAAAAAAAAGTAAGGGAAAACATGGGGATTAAATGAAAAAGAAAGGATATATGGTTTTTGTCTATGACTGACTCTGTCTGGATTGTTCTTTCAGATCTGAACTTACCACCTGAGAGCAGTCTTCTTGCTATATTGTGTGGACCTGCTGCCTTCTAGTACCTTGATGACTGTATCCCTTCTCTGGTGGCATGGAGTCAACCTTTGGCTCAGAATGCAGGGACTTCTGAAGGTAACTCTTCTGAAGGTAAGTCTACCTTCTAGGTATATGCCCTTTATATACAAGGACAATTTGCATATGCCCTCTTCACCTTGGCTCTGGCTCACCTCTCCGTTTCAAGATCATGCCCTCTATACTTATCTGGCTGGGGAGATACCATGATCACAAAGGTGGTTTTCCCAGGGCAAGGCTTATCCATTGCACTCTGGATGTGCTGACCCCTGCAATTTCCCCAAATGTGGGAAACTCTACCATATGATTTGTGGTAGTGGGAGACTGCGTTCATGCTCTCCTCTGGGGGGGAAAAAGGTCGAGCCCTCTTATTCAGATCAGTCTATCCTGGCTTCTTGTAACCTTCCTTGGTTTGTCTCCCCTTAAACCACTGAGTGTTTCCATATGTTATTAATTTGATTTTGCCATACAATAAATGATCTCATGCCATTCATTGTTTTAAGCTTCACTAACTGAGGTCCTAGAAGGAAAGGATTTGCCTTTCTTTGCATGTTTCTAGAACCAAGAATAACCCTAGACACACTGTAAGTTCAAAAATTCATTTGCTGAATGAATGTATGAGTGCATGTCCCTGGGAACGGCTGTTTATTTTGAAAGCCCTGTACCTTTAAAAACAGTTACTTTTTCATAAGCACATACTATGTGCCAGATCCTGCACTAAGCACTTTTCATGGTTTATGTAATTTAATCCTCATGATACCACTGTGAATTAGGTATTATTATCATCTTCACAGCTAGTAAGTGAGGGCACAGACAGCTGGGTTCTGAAGCAGGCACTCACAGTCTACCAGTCGAAGATTATTTCCTTAGAAAAATTACATGAAACTTGTAGCAACAATAGGACCACCCCAACTGGAGAAACAGAAAAAGATGTAGTATTATCTTCTTCATGAAATAAGTGGGGCATATTAAAAGGGAAAATATTATCCTTCATGATGGCTCTGGGAATATTTGGTCACCTGGTTACTAGCTCTCCACAATTATTCCATGTATATTCATTTTGTTTACCAAAAAAGACTATAGTAAATATAATAGCTACTACTTATTACCAAATGTCAGGCACTATGCTAAGCACTATACATTCAGTATTTCACTTAATCTGTTCAATAGCTGTAAACATTGATATTATTATTACTATTTCTCTTTTACAGATTGGAAACTGAGGATTGAGAGTTTAAGCACCTTCCTAGAGTCACACAGTCAATGGATATAAAGCACCTATTGAAACCCTAGACTCTTCTACCCGAAATATGTCCTCTTAAGTACAAAACCATTGGATTTCAAATTTCAGCATGATAATTTCCTGAGGAGCTGGTTAAATGCAGATTCCAAGATCCCATTAGCAGAGGCTCTCTAGTAGTTATGTGATGGTGTCTAGAATCTATGATTTCAACAACTGTTTTGTGAACCTGTTGCATATTGTGCATGGTGCATTCCACAATTCCACCTTCCTGCTCCCTGGAGGTAGCTGTTTTTGTAGGCTCTTCCCAGATATTGGGTTTCATCATGCTGGCCACAAGAAATGCTGGCAGTACCCCAGATGGAGCATTCATGAGCTTTCCCTATAGCCTGACATCGTGATCAGGGTTTAAATCCTATGGTTTTTTCTCAGTTATGGATTCTGCCTTAATGTTCTTTTGCCCTCCTGTTTTGGATGGCATGGCTGGAAAACTTAAAAATATTTGTCTTTCTGTCTTAAGGTGTGGCCTGATCTAACTATCTAGCTTCATGCCTTCTTCTCTTTGTATCTCATGCTACCCATCTTGGTAAAGCTGCCACCCAAGCAAAAGGCATTTCCAAACCTAAGAGCCATGAAACAAGCACATAGCATTTCCCAACATCTTACTTGCTTCCTTGAAAGAACTACTTCCTCATCCTGAAAAAAGTTTTAGTAGAAAATTTACACAGTGACCCTATAATTTCCTTTAATTCTTCACTAGAAACCAGAAAGATTACTTACAAGAGTTTTGTATGTGTCTGTCCTTTTGTTAATTCAATGAATTCAAGCAAGAGTGTTGCTGCCTTTCTTGACCCAAGGGCCATCATTCCTGAATTTGGGGAAAGCCTTGCCTGCTCCATCACAGAGCTGCTTTTCCCACCCTGGCCTGTGTATACCCCAGGACCCTGTGGGTTGGGTGGTGCTTTCCCTCAGGGAGCTCTGTAAATGTCTCTTTCAGTGTTAATGTGACACTTGCAGATGTGATGCTGAGCAGTACAGGCTTGATATACAAACACAGAGTGGCATGACTTTCTGTGACTACTGGTCCAGGTGTGGGGTGCAGTGTGAAGTCAGGCTGGCACCAAAGGAGCACATGATTGCTAGAATGTGTGATTTCTCTGCCCCTCCAGAAAAAGCAGTCCTAAAAGCAAATAGTTCTGCTTAGTGAGCGAATAATGACTTTGGACACTTGTATAGACATAGCAAGACATGTTTATACTATAGTGGTAAATGCAAATTAGTTTTTTGTTAGTGGCTTAGAGGTGTTTGGTGGAGGGAGTAGGGGGTTGGTGGCTGGTTTAGTGTTATTTTGAGTCACTTAATTTCTTAAAATATGCCTGTCATGCCCCTAAACCTCTGTATTAGAACACAAAATGGTGGCATACTATTGGTCTAGATTCATAGTTCATTTATAGACATTCATTTATTATTCACCCATTCACTCAAACATGTATTTGATCTGTATGATATAATAGACACTGTGCTACTATGCTAGAAACTAAGGCCAAGTATGTGAGTAAGGCAGAATTCTTCCCCTAAAGGTACTTGCAGTCTGGTAGAGAAGACAAAGAGATTATAAGCAGCGTGCTAAGTGCTATTTTTAAAATTGTGGTGTGGCAAATATATTTACAAGGGTTATATCCTATTTTTGGATTGCTCCCTTTATCATTACAGTGTCCTTCTTAGTTTCTCACTATAGCCTTTGTTTTAAAGTCTATCTTGTCAGATATAAGTATGCTACCCTAGCTTTTTTTCCCCTTTCCCATTTGCATGAAATATCTTTTGCATCCCTTCACTTTTAGTCTGCGCCTATCTTTCATTCTGATGTGGGTCTCTTGGAGGCGGCATATACATGGGCTTTGTTTTCTTATCCATTTGGCTACTCTTTTGATTGGAACCTATAAGCCATTTATATTTAAAGTGATTATTGGTAGGTATATATTTATTGTCATTTTATTCATTTAACTATGTTCCTCTGTTTTTTTTCCCTCTCCTTCTTAAAGAAGACCTTTTTAACATTTCTTGTAATACTGGTTTGGTGGTAACATACTCCTTTAGTTTTTTCTTCTCTGGGAAGCTATTTATTTCTCCTTCAATGTTGAATGATAGCCTGGATAGTCTTGGTTGTAGGTCCTTGATTTTTGTCACTTTGAATATTGTATGCCAATCCCCTCAGGTCTGAAATGTTTCTATTGGGAAATCAGTTGACAGTCTTATGTGAGCTCTTTTGTAGGTAACAGTCTCTTGCTGCTTTTAAGATTCTCTCTTTGTCTTTAATCTTTGCCATTTCAATTATGTTCTGTCTTAGTATGAACCTCTTTGGGTTCATCTTTGGGAATCTTTGCATTTCCTGGACTTGTGTGTCTTTTTCTTCACCAGGTTAGGGAAGTTTTCAGTCATTATTTCTTCAAATAGGTTTTTGATCCCTTGTTCTATCTTCTCCTTCTGTTAACCCTATGATGTGGATATTGTTATGCTTCATGTTGTCCCAAAGATTTCTTAAACTGTCCTCATTTGTTTAAATTCCTTTCTCTTTTTGCTGCTCTAATAGGATGTTTTCTGTTACCTTGTCTTCCAAATAGCTGATTCGATCCTCTGCTTCATCCAACCTACTGTTTATTCCTTACAGTGTATTCTTCATTTCTGACTCATTCTTTTTCATGGTTTCTATGTCCTTTTTCATGCTGTTGTAATTATCACTAAGGGGTTAATATCCAAAATTTATAAAGGACTTACAAAATCAACACCAAAAAAAATCCAATTTAAAAATGGGCAGAAGACCTGAATAGATACTTCCACAAAGAGGACATACAGATGGCCAATAGACATAGGAAAAGATGCTCAATGTCACTAACTGTCAGAGAGGTGCAAATTAAAACCATAATAGATACCACCTCATGCCTTTCAGAATGGCTATTATCAATAAATCAGCAAACAACAAGTGCTGGCAAGAATGTACAGAAAAGGGAACCCTAGCTAGTGGGAATGCAGCCTGGTGCAGCCACTATGGAAAACACTATAGAGTTTCCTCAAAAAATTAAATTGAACTGCCGTATGTTCAAGTGATTCCACTTCTTAGAATATATCCAAAGAAACCTGAAACACTAATTTGGAAGACTATATGCACCCCTGGGTTCATTGCAGTGTTATTTACAATAGCCAAGATTTGGAAGCATCCCAAGTACACAATAGTAGATGAGCAAATAAAAAAGTAGATGTGATATATGTATATAATGGAATACTAATCGACCATAAAAAAGGAAATCTTACCTTTGCAACAGAATGGATGGAACTGGAAAGTATTGTGCTAAGTGAAATCAGTGAGTCACAGAAAGACAAGTACCAAATGATTTCATTTATATGTGAAACCTAATGAACAAAATAAACTAACAAACAAAATAGAAAAAAAGACTCATAGGTAAAGAGAACAGACTGACAGCTGTTACAAGGAAGGTGGGTGGGAGGATGGGAGAAAAAGGTGAGGGGATTAAGAAAAAACAAAAACAAAAGCAATCCTCATAGACACACAACAGTATGGTGATTACAAGAGGGAAAAAAGGGCAGGGATGGAAGAGGGTTTGAGGGGATAAATGGTGGCAGGAGGAGACTTGACTTGGGGTGGTAGACATACAATAAAATACAGAGATGATGTATTATAAAATTATACATCTAATCTATATAATTTTGTTAACTTATGTCATCCCAATAAATTCAATAATAATTAAAAATATGTACAGTGTGCTATGCCTGTCCAGAGGAGAGGTGCTGAACCAAAAAGGAAGTTGGGGTGGGTCAGGGAAGAGTTCATGGCAAGCTTTCTAGAAGGACACTGGAAATGTATATTCAGAGGTGAAGTGTATTTGACAGGGAGAAGGAAGTTAAAATGGAAGGCAAGAAGGGAAAGAATTAATGGCTTCATCTTTTCCAGGTGTCAGTCAAGCCTAGCCAGTTGTCCAGGTTTCACCACCTGTCAACTCAAAGTTAATTGAGAGGAATCTCTCATCAAGAGGTTAATTGTGACACAGACTCCCATATCCAGGGAAAAATCCATCACCTGTGCAGGC